ATAAGAATGAGTTAATGAGAGCTTGGTGTAGAGGTAAGAAGAGGAAGAAGAAGATGAAATAAAAGTAAAAGGTTGACCCAAAAATTGGGCAACCTCTCGACGTAACCTCTCCCAAGAGGTATTACCGCAGACAAGGAAAAGCACTAGGCTCAAAGCCTCAGTACCCGGAGGATTTGGAACATGGAGTTACAGGACTGAGCCTATAACTATGTCACTAACCCAAAGAGCCCCCTAAAAGTGATCAGCGGAAAGAAGAAAATGTGTGAGAGCGAGAGAGAGATAAGGAGCAAAAGAGATGAAAGCCCCTCACAACCCAAACACCATGTGACTCAATGGTTAGAGTAGTGAAAGGGTTAGAACTCTACAAAAAGCTGACTCAGAATGACCCCAACCCGAGTGATCGAGTGCAAGAGAATCAATGTCTCTTATAACTCAACTACATTGTACGAGCTAGTGGTTAGAGTAGCAGTTCAAGGGTTAGCACCCTAGGGCACTACCTCAGGAAGACCCCAAATCGAGTTCAAGAATGAAAGAACTGACGAGTAAAGAAAGAGAATGATAAATCAAAAAAAAAATGAGATGAATAACAATATGAGTTAAAGAGAGAATATGGAGTTTTAAGAGGTGAAGATGTGATGGACCCGTCATGGTGCAGGTCCATGTACTTTGGGGGAGATGGGAGTGAGAGGAGATAAGAGATGTGGATATAGGACATGGACCCGCCTTAGGTACAGGTCCGCAACTCGGTAAGGTCCGAAACTCAGTAAGGCGTGAGGAGATGAGAGGAAGAAAGAGAATAGCAAGAGATTGACAGACCCACCTTAAGTGCAAGTCCAGAACATTGGGCACGTCTGCTGTGAGAGAGGGGCTGAGAGAGTAGAAACAAAGAAGGGATGACAGACCCGCCTGAGATGCGGGTTCAGGACGTGATGGAGAGAGAGGGAGAGGAAGAGAGAGAAAGAGGAAATGGGTGGACCCACCTTAAGTGTGGGTCCGAGACTTTGGATGACAAGGGGGACAGAGCAAGCAAAAGAGAAGAGGAGAGAGAGGAGCAAACCTACCTATGGTGCGGGTCCGAAACTCTAGACGAGAGAGGGGGAGAGAGAGTAAAGGGAAGAGAGAGGGAAGGAAGCTGAGCCCACCCTAGGTGCGGGGGGTCCGAGCTTGGATTAGAGAGATAGAGAGAGAGAAAGAGAGAGAAGAGGAGAGTGCTCGAACCCACCCCTGGTCTGAGTTGAGAGAGAGAGAGAGAGGGAGAGAAAGGGAAAAAGAAGAGAGAGAAAGAAAGAGAAGAGAGAAAAAGAGAAAGAAGAAAGAAGAGAGAGAAAAAGAGAAAGAAGAAAGAGAGAGAGAAAGAGAAGAGAGAGCAAAGAGTGGAACTAATACGAGCTTGAGTCTAGGTGCACCCTCGTCGGCCCCTTTGCATGCACATGAGAAAGAAAGGTCTTGGTTCTTGTGGGTCAAGACTAGGGTCTAAGGTTTAGGTGTATGGCTTAGGTAGGTTGGGTTGAGGTATGGTGTATGGAAACTAGGGTGTATGGAGTAGGATAGGGTTTAGGCTAATTACGGCGTATAGGATGCAATGGTGTATAGTGTAGGGTAGGGTGTAGGCTAGCTAAGGTAGCGTGTAGGGTGTATGGAGTAGGATTGGGGGCTATGAGTTCTAAGGTGTATGGAAGCCAGGAGTTCTAGGGTGTATGGGATTGGGAGTTGGGAATCTTAAGGGAGTTGGGATTTTGGGGTTTTAGGGATTGAAGGGTATTTTCTCTCTCTAGGAAATATGTCTCTCTCCTCCCATCTTGAATCTTGAATTTGAAAGCAAAGCAAAAGAACAAGCCTAAACCTTTAAGCTCTTCTCATTAATTCTCAAGAATTTTCAAGCCTTCAAGAGAGATTCCCAAGAGCTTCATCACAAATGACTAAAGTTCCTGATACAGAGCAACCCCAAAACAAGGGTGGATTGCTCAAAAACAACCAACATTGTCCAAAAATACACTTTTAATGAATTTAAATATTAATCCCATTTTTTAACCAAATGACCAAAATACCCTTCAGCACTTTTCAACAAATGACAAAACCATTCCTCCATGAGGGGCCCCTCTTGCCATTGCTAAGCCACGGGAGCTTTTTCGGACGTTTTTGGTAGCAATTCAAGCAATCAAACATCGTAGAATCAATGCTCGAACTATTACGCACATTTTAATACCCTTTGATCGTCTTGAAATGGATTTTTAAACTTGTGATTCTTCGACCACTGATCCGGCACGATCCATGGTGTTCCGAGACTTCATTTGGATCACAAATTTAAGAGGATACTATCACGATCATTTTGTGATAAATTTCGTCCATTTTGGTTTCCATTTGAGCACGTTCCAATTTTGGGAAGTCGTCGAAATATGGGATTCCAGCGACAGGAAAAGCGTGCCTTATTCAACCTCAAAATTTGGTGTCATCCAGCCTCCGATCATTCACAAAAATTATATCAAACTGTAGCTCTTCAAAGCACGGTTGCAACGGACCCATACTTACGACGATCCGATATCAGGATCTTGAGCTATGCCTTCTCAAAGAATCGGATGTTCCTCTTTTTAAAATCTGAATTTTCGTGTTTCGATCTCCATCTTCTATCTAAGAATCCTCTCGTTTCAAGCCATGCCATATGTCAAGTTATGAGCATTTGAAATTCATCCCGATATGAGAAAACACAGTTCCTATTTATGAAAACTGATTCACCGAGGCTGCACCGCAATAGTGTAAAACCAACCATTTTTTGGTAAGTTAGGCCCAAAATGGTCCAGGAGGGTCCGATTGAGCCGAAATTTGGTATCTAGGGGTTTTTCGACGTTCCAGATCCAATGGCGGTGGCCTGATACTGTTTTCAAACCCAAAAAATAAGCCTATAGTTATAAGGTCCATTTTCAGCATGATAAGAACTGGATTTGCTAATTGAGTTTTGTCCTAATCAACTCAAAACTTGTCAAAATGCAGCGTCTAGGTTACACACAGTGTTTTGTATTTTCAGAGGAACATAGTGTTTTCAGAATGCGACGTCTAGGTTACACATAGTGTTTTCAGAGGAACATTGCTACAAAGTATTTTCAGAATGCGACGTCCAGGTTACACACAGTGATAGCATAACATGGAACATAGTGTTGCAACTGTCAACAACTAAACCAATCAAGTCCAAGCTCAATTTCGAAACACTATGTGTATCATCATACATTTAACAAACACAATGATGAGTGTGAAGTAATATTTCATAAAAAAAACACAATGACGAGTGTGAAGTAATATTTTATAAAAAGGCACAATGATGAATGTGAAGTAATATCTCATAAAAAATGATGAGTGTGGAGTATGGAGCACAATGCATGAATTAAACTTTCCCTTTTTTTTTTGAAAATTAAAATTTCCCTAAATTAATTTGCAAATAAAGAATTCTTGGTAATTTGAGCCACAAAGAAAGACACTTTAGACATAATGCTTTTGCCATGGCAAGACTGGATGTTTGCAAGACTAAAGTGCATAACAGGCATTTGAATACAATCACCAGTAAATATTTTCCTATCTGTAAACAAAATAAACAATGTGTAGTAAAAAAAAAGACTAAATTACTAAATCAGATATTGATAGGTAAAGGGCCAAGTTAGAATCAATCCCACAAAAGAACTCATGGTTCTCAAATATTCCCTCTAAATAATCATATCATTAACTAGCATGGATGATACTGTGGGTTTCAGTGTTCTGTTGTGTGATGCATTAGATAATTTGTATTTAGATAACTTCAATCCTTGAGGGAAATGCAGAGATGGACATTAATGCGGTGATTTCAAATCATGGATACAAAATAGCCATCCATAACAAGGATTCGAACCATCTAATTTCATACTTTACAAGATACAGAACAACTCCATAGGTGGAGGAGTCTATTGCAGCCAAACATGTAAGCTAGAGTTGCAAACCTGCAGTTTCTCATTTGTACTGAAAGAGATATATTGGGAACGAAGAGAGGCATGGCTGATGGGAGAGAGAGAGAGAGCTTCCACTTAAGATCGAGATTTGATGAGAGAGAAAGAGAAAAGACTTCTTATGACAAGGAAGACAAAAAATTAGAAAGATAACACAAGATGGTTTGCTTTATAGTGAAGAGCAACTGAGCACAAACCCTTGCAGCATGTATCTCTAGAATAAAACTGCATGAGCGGTATAACCTAATTGGAGAAGAGAGAAGTAGGCAAATGATCCCAAGAAAGAGTTTCTGGAAAATAAAGCATTGTAGAGTAATGAGAAAATTTTGGGAGAAGAAAAGCCAAACATCCTAAAACAACTAGATGACATGTTGACTGAAGGGAAGATAAGAAAGGCTCTAGGTTCATTTCATGGACATATTCAATGCTCTATAATAAGTAAAACAATCAGAACAGTCATAAGCACCTTCACAACACAAAATTACAGTAAGTTTTGAAAGATGCAAACCCAAATTTGAAACAATTGTCAACTTTTTTTCTTTATCTGCATTTCCACAGTATCAACCTCCAAAATGAGCACAAAAGTAAAGAAATTAATCTTCACAATGGAAATGCCTTCTGTATCCACAACAATGCCTAAAGTTAAACCAATTGAATCCCAGCTTGACTAAAAATGACTAAAATCTACAAACAGAGAAATTGGAAAAAAGGAACAAATTTCCGACTTCCGTGGCACATTCTTCCACACCCAATTTGTGTCGCAGAACATAAAATTCGTAAGTTTCAGACTGTCAGAGAAAGACAGATGGTTAAAACTTAGAAGTAAAACATATCCTCTTTATTATTCAGGATACAACAACAATAAAGTATCAGAACAAGAGAAAAATCATATGCTGTAAGAAATACCAGCACATCCACAAATTATGACAGGAGATTACTACAAATTACCTTACAAAAAGATTTATACAGTTACGCTACTCTTATATTTTGCATGCAAGTATCAGGAGAGAGAAAAAGAGAGAGAGTGCTCACTTTCAATCCCTGAATGATAGATGCCCAAACCAAACCAGTACAAATAGTCATTCACGGGGGTGAGATCATAAATATTCAGGTACAACTGAGCTGGATCACCATCACTTTCGTTATAAGCTGAAGAACTCACAGTGGCTTTCATGGCGAGTGATCGCAAAAATGACCCCATCTTAAAGACTATCTAGAACCCAAAGTTGCAGGGCACCCATGAATCTCCTGATCCATGACTGAAAACCCTACAGAAATACCCAAATCAAGCTTCCATGCACTGTACAGAGGGACACAAAATGGTACATATTTCAAGGCCGGGTCAAATAAGATCCAATCAGATTTGAACAATTATTTCATGCGGAGGGTAGGTCCAAATATTTTTTTAATATAGTCTTATTTCAAAATTTTAAAATTTATTTAATTTTTTATATTTATGATTTTCATATTAAAAATTATATATTTTTTAAAAATTGAGATCAAATTATATTTTAAAATATATTTATTACCAAGATCTACATGTGCAGGCTTGGCAGCTAAATAAATAGCAGTCAACCAATGCAGGCTTGGCTGCTAAATAGCAGTCAACCTATGGCGTAATAGCCTTTATCCCGTTGTTGTCGCCATGTTTGATGAAGAAAAGGAGGTTTCCTTTTATTGGTTTCATTATATTTTGTTAGAAAAGTTTTATCTCAGTCAAATGTGCCACAGGCTGGATTCGAATTGTTAAAGGTCTTAAATATGTGTCCAAATGGTAGCTTCTTCTTGTTTCTCTTCCTCAATGTGTATGGAAAAAAGTTTTTATAAGGTATGAACCTTCTACTGTACGAGTAAGATGTATATAAAAAATCCACCGGATAAAATTGTTCTTATGCTGAAAAGCCCTCAAATCGATCATCTCGACCTTGAGATTCCTAGATATAAAAAAGGGATTTCTGATCTTAAAAATAATTCATCTTTTAACGCATTATATGGATTGTCCATTTTTTAGATTTTCAAGTGTTTTTAGATAATGCTTGATTGTTACAAACTTTAAATTTCATAATGGGGGCAACAATAGTTTTTCATGTTATTGTAAGGGTTTGTGGTACTGAAACTGCATTTCAACATAGTTTTGAGGTGCATCTTTCTTCAATAATATAAAGTCGGCACCTTATAAAAACCTCACATGTGTATGTAGGTACTTAACCCTCATGGATTTATAATGAGATTGTTTACAAAGACCATTTATCTATTGTATAAGGAGCTCATAATTGTTTATAACTATCCCGTATGCATTTAGGTAGTTTAAATATGCTACAAAATTCGAAAAAAAAAAATTTGAACTTTGTGCTTGGTCCAAAGAATAAATGCAACTAACCAATTTCACATCTAAATGCCAAAAATTAATTGTGACTACCTTGTACAAAAAATAAATAGTGTCATTGTATACTTTTTCACTTGTAGTAGCAGAGAGGGGGAGATTCTCTCTCTATTTCTTCCTCTTTATCTCCTCAATTTTCTCTTTCTATCTAAGAAATAAAACTGTATATATTACACCATTTGTACTTTAAACAATACCATTTGCCTTTCGATGGAGTTTCTACGAGGCTTAGCTTAAAAAAGGTAAAAATTCACCTTGAATACTCATCTGGAAAGTACTTTATACAGTAAAATATTCTATTGTAGCTCTGAATCATTTTCCATTACTGATTATGTAATTTAAAGCTAAAAAATTGGTACTGATCTACAAGATCTGTGAACGCTTGAAAATGAATAGTCTAGATTTGTATTACAATATACACTATTTTGAGAACTTAAAATCCTAATTATTTTTCGGAAATTATCACACTAATATACCTATATTTTACTATAATTGAAAAAGAAAAAAAAAAACTCAATTTCTCAAAACCTCACCTACACCATTTCTCACAATCTTCGGCTTTTTTTTATACCAAAATAACCTTTATGGTAGTCTTTTTACCATAAAGAATATTACGGTAATTTAAATACCATCATAAATTGAAGGACTATTACGGTAATTAAAATATTGTAATACTTTAAAGTAGTATTACGGTAATTTAACTATCGTAATATTGCCCATGCCTCATTAAAAGAACACAAAAGATTTTCTACTCTCTCGAGAGTCTACTAGCTATTTACTCATTCAACAAAAATCCATGCTACTTGTATTTTTCAAATCTCAAATTTTTAGAATATAATATCTACTACTTATAGAATAATTCCAACAAAGGAAAATTTTCAAGTAAATTCTTTTGTATATTAGAAACTATCAAATTTTCAAAGAGCTAGATTTAAGTGTCACAGAACTTACAATTCATTCTTTCAAAAATAATTTTATAATTTTTATATGGTTCTCAAAATTTTAAAACAAAAACATTTTTAAATAGGTGGTTTTGAGCGAGGGAGTAGATCCACATCATGCTCCTATAGGAACATGGATTTTTTGAAAAGTACAGCTCCAAAGAAGACTACTATGAAGGGAGGAGAGGGGTAATCCTGATATTAGTTTCAGTTTGAAGTTTTTCAACCAATGGGGGTTTGGAATTTACTGGAAAAATATTATGGTAATAAGAATACTGTAAAAACTTCCCCACACATTACGGTAGTTAAATTACCGTAATAATAATTCAAATTATTGCCGTATTTAAATTACCGTAATACTCTTTGAATTTTTTACGATGTTTTAATTACCGTAAAGCTTAAAATGTATTACGGTAAAATGACTATTGTGAAAGTCATTTTGGTATAAAAAAAGTCGAAATTTATGAAAAAAGGTGTAGGCAAGGTTTTGAAAAGTTAAGTTTTTTATTTTATTTTATTAAATAAAATATATATATATATATATATATTTTTATTTTTATTTTATTATTATTATTATTATTATTTTTTCAACCACTAATGGTGAAAGTCTGAGATGGTTAATTTGAAGGTTTTCCAAGGAATTGTAATCATTGGTAAGCTTTGAGGTTCTTTTTCCAATAAGACCTATGCCTACGCCTACGCCTTTTTTTTAACCTTTTGTCCTTTGCCTTTACGATACGGGACAAAAAGTATGTTGTTGTTATTGACGAGTTTCAAATAAAATTTTCAAAATTTTGTGATACGAGTTAGAGAACTCACCAACACGTGCATAGCCCGACGTGCATCTCTAAGATCAACATCTCTTCAACTATATGTCAAAATGGAGGGTAGAAAATGGAAATACAAAAAATGGAATTTATATTTTTCCATAAGACAAAAATTTGAAATTCATAATCACCATTATAGTTCAGAACAACAAATCCCAATGCCCCATGATATTTAAATGATATTACAGTCAGTATAAAAACCCTTTGTGAAATGTTATTTTCATTTAATATGGTCTCTCCAGACAGCAACTGGACTTTGACTCTCCAACCCACGTGGTCCAGCGCCTACAAAAACAGTTAGGGGAATGTTTTGAGGTGTGGACTTTTCACATTATTTTTTATTCACTTTGTAAATAATTTCAAAAAGATCAATTGATCTTGATATCTTAAACCTATGGATTTGATCATCCTTTAAACCGATGTTCGATCTTCTGAAGGAAATTTTTTGCGAGGTAAAAGTTTACGTAAGGTCACAACCTTATACTATAAAAAAAGGCATGCTGCAAAATTTCATCAAAAAAACTTGTTTTGATGTTAAAAAAACCAATAATTGATCATCTCTGTATGGATGTCGAAAAAAAAAAAAAGATTTTAAAGTCTTTTAAATGGTACATCTTGTAATATGTTATTTAGATAGTCAATTCTCAAGATTTTCATATCTTTGTAGAACTGCTTAATTTGTTTTAATTTTAAATTTTAAATTTTATAATTCAATGTGAAATATATTTTAGATTATTACAAAAATTTCTAACACAAAAATTACATCCTTCGATGAACTTTGGATGTGCCCCTTACTTGGATTGTTTAAAAATGTCACCTTGTACAAACGACACCCTGTTTTTTTTGTGTGATTATGCATTTGTCTTTGATTCAGTTGGAGCAGTTTTGAGCTAAAAAACAATTCTCTAATTGATTTTGGAGAAAAGTGATCTCTAACAAATATCCCCAAATATGTTTTTTTTGCGGCAGACCAGGGGTAAGAAGTGGTCCAGCGAGATCACCCCATACAGCCCACTAAAGAGGGCCACTAGTAGCACCATATATCCATGGTCCGGCGCGTTGGACACGTATCAACGAGGTTGTTTTGATGTGTAAATTTTCAGATAATCGCTTACCTAGCATATATTTGAATAAAAAAAAAGAAAGAGGTAGAAGTTGATACTGAGTACTTGTGTACTTGATGACCTTGCTGTAGTTTTCATTCTCACTAACATCATTCCATTAAAAACTTTCAAAAAAAATTTACCTCGTAAATTATTTGAAAAATAAAATAAAATAAGGGCATTTCTTACCCACTGACAAGTGTAACGTATTTGAAAAAAAAAATAAAATAGGTTCTTACCCACTGACAAGTGTAACCTTCAATATATATTTTGGTATTAACAAATTTTAGGCCATATTTGAATAGGGCGGTTAGCATGAGGCAAAACACGCACATGTACAAATGCAAGCATGGCAATAAATATATTTTTATTTTAATTCTTAATTTTTAGAGAATAAAAAATATTCAACATTGAGATCATGAAAATGAAAAAATAAATAAATTTTGAAAACTAAAAATAATAATTATATTAAAAAAACATTTGGATTGTTGGTTACAATTGTTTTAAATGGACCACCTATTTGCATCCATCTTTAAGATGGAAGCTTTACACCTATGGACCGCATATTGTACAAATGCAGTCCAACCCGCATAAAACAATTGTTCCTTTGATTAACCCATTAACCTCTTCGGTGAGGGTACTTTTTAAGTAAGACGGAACCTTAAATAATTAAAAGGGTGCAATTGGCATACGGATGCATCCATAGCTGTAGAGGTAAGGTGCACCTTCAAATTTTATCGTGGTTTATAATTTTGATTTAAAATGTTTTTAGGATTATATCAAAATCTATTTTTATATCTAATTATAAAATTTTTAATTTCAAAAATTGTTAAAATCAAGTAGATCTATAAACATATGAAAATCTTAAACATAGACGGTGTGGATAATATGTTGTAAAATGCACTATTTCTGAGACTTAAAATCTTTTTATTTTTCATGGTCATACATCTTGATGTCGAGATAATCAATCAAAGGGTTTTTCAACATTAAATCTACCTTTTCTAATAGATTTTTGAGGTACATCCGTAGTTCTACATTACAAGGTTGCATCCTTATAGAAACTTTTTGCTAATTAAAAGTACCTTTCAAACATGTGTATGGCGTCAATGAATC